CCAAAATTTTAATAATTTTTCATTTGCAGCATTTACTGACAGCTGAAGGCAGGAAAGGTTAAGAGATCAATAACTAGTCCTGGTTTGTAATTGAAAACAATTAGTTTTGCAGCAGGCCCTAGTTACTGTATTCTCAGGCCCCAGAATAAGTGACTGTGATACACCTCCCGAATTCAGCAAGCTGGGTGTGCCCACAACAGCAGCACACACTTTGATAAGCCGTACTATATACAAAGAGCTACATTCTGTCTAAACAGCCATAAATCACTCTAAAAGAAATGGCTCAGCCAGGATGCCATCTTAGCTAGTCTAAAACCTATTGCATTTAAAGAAAATAATATTTATAAAAATTACCTCTCTTCTCTACAAGCACATGATTCCTAAATAGCAATGCTCAGTTTTCCCCATTACAACCACTTTAAGAAATTCACAGGACAGATGACAACGTGTTGCTGACTTTTCATGCTGTTTGGGCCCAGCTTATTGAAGGAACTTACTTCGTCCTGCAACGCTTGTCAAGTTCAAGCCTTGAAATCCATTCCAGGTAACATTCAACCACAAGCTTCTGGCCTACACACAGAAACTACAGCATGAAATTTTATGGTCTGTGTTATTCAGGAGGTCAAAAGGGATTATCACAATGTTCCTTTTTAGCCGTGGTACCTATAAGCCTTGGCATATAAGCCACCCTGGAAAGCCATTCTCAGACAACTGTTTTAAATTGGACTTTAAGCAGTCCTTCAACTCTACTTCAGGAGAAAGCAGCATTGTCAAGATAACGGTTTTACAGCTTTCAGTCCTCCTAGCAAAAATAGTGCTTGCTTTGTGTACCTTGCCCTGTTTCACACACTGAGCAGACATCCTCTATCCAATCCCTACCGCTTTCTGCAAGCCATTCCACAAACACACCAGAGCTGAAGAAGCAATAGTCTGTCCTACAACCTGAAAATTCAAGTAAGTAAAATAATTTTCCGGAAAAAAAACCCAACTTTGATGTAATTGGGATAACCTGGATGGGGTGGGAATTCCTCAGCCAAGACACTTTCCACAGCAAGATGGCCTTGGATAAAGTAAGAAAAATTTTCCTACTGTTGCATTCATTCAGAAGTGCGAACGACAGTGGGTCAACAGCGGATCAAATCGTTGAATACCTCCTTCTGTCACCAGATGCGTAATTTGGGGGGCCCAGGATGGGAGTAGGTATCAGAAACTCAGGCATGTTCAGCCATGAAAGCAAGCCATCTACCATTCCTGTGACTTGGCTTTCCTTTACACAGAGCAGGAATATTTGCTAAATGGATTAGCATATACCTTTTCTGGAATCCACCACAAGGTTGTACTTACTTTTTTCCTATAATTTATTTTATTTAGCCTTTTCTCTTTTAACTACCAGTAGCCTGACAAACAGGGAACAATGTGAAAGACCGTAAAACTGGCCAGCGATGTGCAGGCCACGCTTAATCTTTGGCATAGCGTGGCTAACACACAGAAGATGAAGCTACCACAGCTTTGTGTCTAGCCGCTTGCCAGCTGAGCTGCACTGTATGTCTTCCTACTTCAAGGGAACTGTGAAGACAAACATTTGCACCCTCTGAGGACATGTAGTAAGGCTCAGGTGACAAGCAGTTACAAGACACAGTAATTTTGTCACCTACAGACAGCCACACGTTCTTACGTGACCTACCTCAACCAACAAGGAACCTGTCCCTAGCACCCAACCGAGCATGCCCTACAACACAAAACTCGTTTCAAAGCTGTAATGTTAGGAGAGCTACTTAAACGGTCACTCCTCTGTCTCTGCAATTCATTCTGGTTTGTTTTAAAAAATAATAAACACAAGCAAACAAAAAAAAAAGCAATTGCGTGTTCCCTCTGAAGCGTACTGGCATGGCTGGGACAACCCTCATCGTAGCCGGATGCCGTTCTCCACCAGAGTGGCCAACGCAGTCATTTGCGCTTCCACTGACTGTTCCAGCACATTACTCTCTTTGGGGGGTTGCACATGTTCAGAGGGGAAAGAAACTGCGTTCAACGTCTCCCGTGCACGTCAGAGAAGCCAGCAGCTGCAGAGCTGTGCACGCCAAGAGCGGGACGTGGCTTCTCCTGCACCACAAGTGAACATCAGCCTCTTCAACCAAGTCATTACTTTGGTCCTTGGAGAAGTTATTCACACGTATATCCAAATCCTTGGCCCACAGGTATGGCTGCTGACATAGCCAAGGACAGCTCGACACCTCTGATAGCAGGGCTAGATGTGACCTCATAGGATCTGCTGATCCCTTGCATCACCCAAAATAAACATCAGGATGTGCTGGAAGGAGCACAATTTAGTGAACAAAACTACATAATCCTGAGTCCTTGTCCTAGTTTCACCACTCATTTGCTGTACTTCTCTCTGGTACACGATACAATCTCTGCCTTCATATTCAAGTATCATCTCTGGTATCTTCTAGCCTACCTGTACAGTTTGCAGGTTGGGATTTGTGAAGCAGTGAAGCACCAGATCATATCAAGCACTGGCACTTCCTCAGAAACACTGGTCAACAAGGGACTGGGAAAGCCTCAAGATCTTTTTAATCCCACTCCCATGGCAATCAGGAGCTCTCAAGCAAAATAACGGTGGGTCAGGGGCTTTGAATTTTCTTTTTTTGATCTCACCTTAATTTCACAGGAAAACTATTTTCGAGGTAGCTGGCAACATTGCTCTCTTAAGCAGCCTGAGTATCTGCCAGAATTTGGTTGCAGCAACTTCATAGAGATATGGGTATACTCGTCTCTATTTCTTCCCATTTGTGCCACTCCAGACAGAAACCTGTCTTGAATATGAACTAGAAATTAATCACCCACAGAGAAATCACAGAGTTGCAAAGCACAGTAGACCTACCCAGGGGCTTTTGATATTCACTCAGCCTAGAGCATATTTGGGACTGCAAATAAACTCCTCTCAGCTTGGGTCCTCAATGCCAGAAGCTGGTGACTCCAACCTCTCCCAAAGACCATAACAGGGAAAGGCAGAGAGGCTGATGGTTAACATATCTCTTGCTGTTACACCTAACACATGGAATACAGCCTCATTTATCCAGAACTATCCATACCTGACTGTTTCCTTGCTCAAGGCTGACCAACCAGTTAGGAAGATATATGGCAGTATTAGATGAATTCTTTCCATTTTATCCTCACCAGGGTGAAGAAGATGGAGTTACCTATATTGGAGGTGACTACAAAGGAAAGTGAAGACAAAATAGCAAACTCCATAATATTATATTGTAGGAACAAAGCCTCAGCCCCAATATGGATCAGCTCCACACTGAGCTGGGAGTTTGAGAAATAGCCCCTTCAAAAAATATAGATTTTAAAAAAATGGAGCAGGGAAGGCAGAGGCTGTATACAGCAGAAGAGAGACCCTCGCATCTAGACAAATTCAGTCATCCTATGTTAAAACCGCAAGCCAACTCCTGATTTAACCTGGAGTTTCATATGTCACTACAAAACTCTGGAAGTGTTGGCTTTGCAGATATGTCAAACATACGAACTGTTTTCACTGAACTCAGTATTTTTCCACATCTACTATTGTAACTCTGCTGGCAGGCTGGGAGTAGCAAATCCTCCCTTATCTCCCTTCTCTCTGAGAGCATCTCTCTGTTTAAGCACCGGCTAACTTAGATCATCATGCATGATCCCCCTTGGAAACTGGACAAAGAGGGGGGTGGGAGAATCACTGAGATTGTAAGCAACAAACCACAGAAGGAGATGGACTGTCGTGCAGAAGGGAAGTAGCAGGGGGAAAGAGGTGACTAATGAACAGAAGGGGGTGCGTAAAATCCTACTTGGATTGCCTCTCTGGGGAACAGCTGTTTCCTTGTAAACATCTTGCTAGCTGTCCAAACAAGAAGTTCAGGCACAGAACAATAAAGGAGAGCACCCAGGTAGAAGCGTTCAAGGCATGGGCTCATTCACTACCCTGCCAATTGCTCCAAGTGGCAGAATTCAAAAGCTGGGAAAACATTAGCCATACGTTTAACCCTGCATGTGCTGGTGTTATAGCCAATGGCCTGCAGAAACATATCCTTCTCTATCTGTGGTGAAGTCCTTCCCAGCCCTCCTTTTCCCTCGCTGTTCCTGACAGAACAGCAGAGCACATTACTTGACAAAGGAAAAGAGGAAATATCCTCATCAGAGCAAGGAGAAACAGCCACAGAGCCAAGAAATGAAAAACCTGAACGTGGCAGCCCTGAAGGCCTAGAAAAGTTCTACCGCTGCCCTGGCATCAGCAACTTGGAAGCAGAGGGAGTTGTACCAGAAAAAGTAAAAAGAGTCTTTTTATTAGTCCTGAGCACAAAACAGCCTACACTGGCAGAAGCATTTCTATGCCAATATGACTGTGTCCACACAGGACTCTTGCCAGCACTGCAAGGTAGCTGCAGACTGGGGAAGGAATACTTGCACAACCATGTCAGTAAACATTCCTAGGGCAGGCTGGCCACAGAAGGCAACTACCTGCACTGCACAACAGCAAGCAGAGACTGTGCATCACCTTTGCCTGTTCCTTGAGGCTTCTGGGAATCAAACGCACACGTGCCCGGTCACACGCCTATCCTACAAACCCTGTCTCCAAAATGCCACACAACCATTAAAGGAGTGCAATCAGATCATGTGCACGTCTCCAGGAAAGGAGGGGTCAACTTTGCAAGGAAGGCAATGTACAGGATAGTAGGACACAATAACTTACAATAAGGGAATCCTATGTCCTGAGCCTATAGTCCAGTTATCTACACCTTCACGTCCACCTCTGACTGACCTATCTGACTCTTACACATTCTATTTAATGCAAACTACACTTATCCTGGGAAATGAAATGCCTCCTACTTGTACTCAAAACAACTCGTAGAAGCAGGACGAAGGTAAGCACAACGACACCCTCGTAGTCAGGAACAACAACAAGCAATTCCACATTTTAGAAATAGTCCACAAGTTCACAGGAAAGACCTGACGTAGTCTGATTTATTTTATCTTTTTATTTCTTTAGGGCTATTTTGTTGTAGTCGTGCACAAACAGCCAGGGAAAAAGATATGCTAGCAAGGGCTGCTCAAGAATAAACATTCAGTCATTACAAGAATTTTTTTTTTCTGCTGATCAAAATCCCTCTGAGCCTAAAGAAAGGCAGCTGGCTTGTTGCGTCAAAGTCCAAACCAATCGGGGACTCCACCTCGTCTGGGGTCACCTTTCTGCCTCTGCTTCTCTCTCTCCATATATTTATCCTTGAAGTCATCAAAAGAGCGAGTTTCTGCGTCTTGTTCTTTCTTTGGAAATAGGTTGGGAAACTGAAAGGTTTGTCCTTGGCCCTAAAGAGAAAACAAATGGTCAGAGACATTCCAGCCTTTCTGCAGTAACTATGAACATACTTACAATGAAAGACCACCCTGAAGTCACAGTTAGTGCAAAATGGTACCTCAGCCTCCCAAGATCTATATCCTCCCAAGATCTATATCCACCCCTCTCCCCAAGACACACATATATCCCTACCCCCCCCCCCCCAAAAAAAGCTAACCTTCAGTCTCTCCTCTTTCATGTGCTAATTAAGACACTGACATCTCTTTCTCACAGATGAATGGCCAGGAGATGGACACCTCTTCAAAGACTTTGAACCAGCTCAGAGATGTTGTATGAGTCATACAGTAAAAGCAAGATGAGCAAAATAAGTGATTTTGTTAAAGTAACACCACCAGGGAAATACATGGTGGAGCAGGCATTCATTATGTTAACACTCAGGATATGAGTAGTGGTTATAGTTGTTTAGATCTCAGCTAAGGATAAGAGGGAACAGTCCTAGCAGCTGTTATTGTAGGGTGTAATGTGGGAATACAGAATAACAGATATCAGAGGTCTCTTATCAAGAGGAATAAAGACTATAGTGTAAAACAATTACAGTGGGAACAATCTGCCTAATACATCACTAATGAGATTAAAGTGATTACATCTGCATCAGTCATTCTGCCTAACAGACAAGTCATTTTAGTGAAACATCATCATCAGATCTATGTCTCCCACTTGGAAAATAAACATTTGCTTGGTCTCTGGTTTTCATCTAACAGCAGGAAACCATTATTCTGTGGAAATGTTCTATCCTATTAACATTACCTACTTACTTTCTAGCGGTGTTTGCACTAAGCACAACTTCATTAAACTCAACAATATCAGCCCTTCCATTCTGTATGAGACTTTGCATAATAAAACTCCGAACTGATAGCTCATAACTCTAAAATTACTCTCCAAAGTACTTACAAACGTTACCATACATTAACTTCTTTCGCAGGATACCGCATATAGAAATCTCAACAAAAGCATTTAATTGCTTCAGATGAAAACAGCTGTTTTGTTGTTTTTCAGATCAGCCATTCTTTACATTTGTGCAATAAATATAATCAAACAAGAGGCTCAGTTATGAATGGGTTCCACAAAGGACATGAAGCGAGACTTCCACAACACAGCTACCTATACTACATTTTGGGATCAGAAATGTGACATAATTAAACCAAAAAACCCCGTCACCATGTGCCTGACCCAGCTGAATGTGTGCTATGTTCACTTACCCATGTACACTCGACCTGGTAATTTACAGGTGTGAAAGAATTTAAACCTCAAGCAGGCACTTTGGAAAGAAAAAATATCACTTATCCCAGTTGAGCTTATCCAGACTAGAATCTAGGAAATATCAACTCATACCCAGCAATGCTCCGGTTGTTTTTGTAGTGCATACTTCTTGGGGGTTTCCTAAAAGCCTGACCATACTACAAAAACAACAAGGGAGCTGCTGTGTACATTGCTCCTTCCTTCATTCTAGCCTGGATAAGATCAACTGGAACAAATCAAGGTTTTCCTTTCCATGGCGTACACCCTGGGGTTTCAACTCTTTTGTACCTTTAAATTACCAACAGGTATGCTTATAATAGCTGTCCTATGACAATTAAAGCATAGTTCTATTTTGAGGCACAGAAACTGGCCTTATCAATGTCCTTGAGCAATCCCAAAGCCGTAGCCTACAGAAACTCTTCCTGTAGTAGGATCAGCAGCAAGCACCCTTGAGGCCAAGTGCTGCCCAAAATTTTAGCACTGTGAAGCGTTTGGAAAAAGAATTTGTTTATATTATAAAAAATTACTGCGTTTTAACTGCACTGCGGGTGGGTCACTCAGCCCCGTGGTACCTACAGAACAGACGGGGCCAATCCTAAGGATTCGTCTGCCCTGGAGAGGAAGCCATTTTAGTTAAACAAGTCAGAAAACAACTCAGGCTAACATGGTAGGCATACCACCTACACTGAAAATTTGAGAACTATTTATATTGGTAACAGTGTAGTAAGGGACTGTTCTTGTTATGCAGCACTTCCATTCTGGTATGCTTCCAGGACCAATGCACTTCCCTTATTGGAGAATGAAGGAAAGCTGTCCCTAAAGCATACTAACAACATCCATGGTAATTCACTAAGCATTGCAAAACAGTTATTATTTTTAAAAGAGGGGAGAAAAACAAAACCAGATATGCACAGAGGCTGTAGCAAAACCAGACAAACCTTGCAGCTGTTTATCAAAGTGCTCACAGTTCCCATTTCAAGGCTGGTGAAAGTCAAATATTGAGCTGAAAATGTCAATCTGTATCTGGAGTCTTTTAATAAATCAACATCAGCACAGACAAGTTGGCTCTTTCCAGCTCTTGTTTTGTGAAGAAATTCTGATTTTGGCTGACAGCCAGACATGCTTCGAAACAGCCAAGGCATTACACCCTGAGAACTGAAGGTTGATAAATCTTAAGTAACAATACTATGCAGTAATACTGCACTGTAAGACTCTGGAGCGATGAAAGCTGTATGAAAAATAGTTGTTGTGCATGCTCAGTAGCTAGTTTTCAGAAGAAGTCTGTATCTTGGGTATTTCAAAATTTCAAAAATACCAAAAGGCATCAGCTTACATAAAGGATTCTGAGTCTGTCCAGGCATATTTATATTCAGAGCATATTCCACACGATGCCAGAGGCTACAGAGGTTCAAGCTCATACGTCACCTTCCCAAAAAAATGCCAAACAAAGGAATGGAGGGATCATCACTCCTTTACACAGTGCTGTCTTTTCTTACACTTTTTCTTTGTAAAAGTTTTCCCTTCTATACAGCAACCATTTGACCACCATACAATAAATGCATCCTCAGATTGAAAACCTAACTGAAATAAAGCAAACAACTAAATTTCTACCAAGTTCACCAGGGTTTTATCTGGTTTGCAAACTGCTAGAACATCAAATGCTGGCATATTCAACCAGAAAGGAAAATTTTGGCTTATTCATAAACCTTGCATTTGTTCACTGTTTTACCTTCTGCAAGCCATTTAACCAAGGTCATCCTTTTAATGACTGAATTATTGAAATCCACACAAGCTGAAATAAGCTCTAAAAAGGCTAGGGCTTAGTCCTCCTTTAGAACTTCTGCCAGCACAATTACCTTAGAAGCACAGAGAAAGGGGGAGAAAATAAGAACACCTTCCTACCTGACATAGCTGTACTACAAGAAAATACTATTAAAAAATGACAGACACTTGCAAAAAAATCGTTTTGCTCAGATAATTTAGTCTGTCTTGGAACTGGATGCTGCACTGACAGCAAAAGAACTTTTTCACCAATGTGAGGTGATGCACTGGAATTTGTCAGGATAAGCTCTACCACCACACGCTCTTATATCTATGTGAGCCCTCGCAATGTTAAAAAAAAAAGAAAAAAAAACACCAAACAAAGCAAGTCAAAGAGGCTGTACTGAAGCATCTAAAAAAAGCTGGCAACGTGATGATTTCATGCATTGCTATTCTCAATTTAGGGTCTTCCCAGAGACCTCCCTTTTTCCTACAAATTCTAAGGTTACATACAAGTGACATGTGTGGTCCAGCGTTTAGACAACAGAAATGGGCGCTATTAAACTTCTACTCCTGCACAACTCTAATCGTCACTTCAGCATTACCCAAATGTAAAACTGATTTATATACAAGGCCTTATGAGGATTCATTTGTTAAATGCTAACATCCTTCAAGATACAAAGCGACCTAAGCACCAAATATGTATTGTCCCCTTAGATTTCAAACCTTTGTGGTTAGAAAGGGTGAACACACACCTTGTTCTCTGAGTCTGTAGAAGGAGTTATCACATCGACTGGTACAAATTGCCTCCATTCATTTTAATGAGAGGTTAAGTGACCATAATTAGGCCTATGAAGTCAAGTGTTAGCCTTTCCACTGCTGAGCCTCATGTCAGAAAATTGCTGGAAGGATTATCCGGCACAAACTCACTCATACTTCTCTGACCTTTGCATCCCTTGAAAAGTTTAGGAATGGAAGGTCAGCACAGATATTATTGTGTAGGAATGACGCACCAAACACTGATCATGTAAACAACCGTGAGATCTTCTGATTATTTAGATAACTGAAGCACTTACTACTGTCTTTCAGAATTAGGAGAAAAGTGATGTTTAAAGTGTCGTTAACTACAAAAATGTTGGACTCCCAACAGCACGGGATTTGGTCCAGCAGTAGCAGCAAATGCAGCTAAGTTTAATAATCCAGTGCATTTGAACAATTCTTCTACTATTGCAGTGGTAACATCTGACGTTAAAATGTATGGCAAAACAGCACAGAAAGCAATTTCAAAAACCCACACAGGAATGACACAGTGTACGGAGCATCCAAGTTTCCTCTGAATTCACTACATGTCAAAAGAAAACTGCTGTCACATCTGATGTGCAAATGGGTTAATTACTATGAATCTACTGGACACTGTAAACTAGGGTTTGAGGAGAAAGCATTTGCAAAAATGTTCCCACCGGTGCCATCATTCACGCAGCTAAATAGGTGTTAGTCCTAACGTTGACAAGGTCAGACTCCTTTTTACAGCCATGTCCATTAGATTTCTCAAAACAGGTTTAATTAAAAATAGGTCTGGATTCCAGAGGCTTGTCTACAGTTGTGCTCCCACGGGTGCTAACACCTGTTGAGCTAAACCAGTGAGAACACTGAAGGAGGAGGAGGGGATGTTGTTGTTTTTTAATTTCCCTGATGTTGATGCAACTGTAAACTTTCCCACTGGCTTGCTTTTTCTTCTTTTTAAAAACATTAGGATAATTATAACTGTATTGGGGTAAGGAGAAAGGCTGCTGTATTACATTCATTTTCTCTACTATGCAAAGATATATAGCTTTGGTTTTAATAAAAAAAATAAAACTGCATTAAAAAAGTAGCATTTGATACCCAGAGCCCTAAGTCTCTAACTTAAACCTTTCTCATCACATTCCAAAAGGGGAAAAAAGGCAGGCAGGCTCTGGAATGGCAAGATATTGTTGATACACAGCCTTCTATGATTTGAAGTATTTTTTTAGTGTGAAAATATTATGCTTGGACAGACCATGTATTTGTCCAGTTACAGCCTAAGAATAAAGTAAACAGCTCTGAATCTCCAAGAAATAGTATTTGGAAAAGAAAGGACAACAATTCTTACATGTGGAACAGCTGGGGCACTAATCTAACACCTAAGGGTATGTTGACTATGACTTCATACACCTTCCACCTCTGAGACACTTGCAGTAAGCTAATGGATATGTATGTTGTGCTGGGACACATAAGGTGATGTTTTAGGAAGCAGGGAAGCGTAACTGGTCATGAGAATATACCCAATTTCCTTCAGGTAAACCACACCACAGCGGCTACCAAGTCCCGCTGGGAAGTGCAATACTTCCATCTAGTGGGGAAGAGAAAGATCAACCCAAGACATTCCAAAAACACATCCTTCTTTTTCCAGTCATAAGCAGTTTTAACTTGAAACTGGATTAATGAGAGAAAACACAGCTGGTAAAAATGGTGGGAAAGCCCCGCTACTCTGACTCACAGCAGATGCAAACTAATTCTCATGAAAATAAGGATTTTACAGTGGTTACCAAAGACTTCCTCAAATTAGGCAGATATTAACAATGGTCTGCATGGGGCCTGTTACGGCCTGAATCACATCATGAATGAGAATGAAGACAAAACCTTCAGTTCCAGAAATGATATTGGGTTTCTGGCCTCACCCACTGTTTAAAGCTGGTGTGAACACAGAACTGGGAGCTCATTGTCTGAAACATCAGAGCTAGTGATGAAAAGCAAAGAACAAAAGGAAAAAGAGAAAGAAAGCAAAAAAAGACAAACCTAAATGTTAAAGAAATTAACAGACACCAACAACAATAGAAAAAAGAGAGCAGACAGACCAGGAATGAGGCGAGGGGAAACTGCACAGACCAAGTGTCACTGACAAGAGTTTAGTAAACGGTCAGGATTCCCTCACTTGATGTGAAATACAACACCAAAAAGGTGGTCCCCTGATCCCCTTCATGGGACAGACGGAAAATATGGCATTTTTTAAAAACTCATGATGATACTATAGTATAAGGCAACGCAGTAAGGGACATTTGCTGTCTCATGTACCGAGAGTAGTCCTCAGCCACAGTACCACAGGGCTCTGTGCACTGCCCAGCAGACAAAATGAGGGGCTGGACGAACGATCCGAGTTACTGCTGTGGGACTGCCTCCAATACCAAGCTAGTTTGGGTAATTCTCCACCCCACCGTGGAGCTACCCTTAAGGTCACAGCAACTATTCTAGGTTCAGAGGTTTGATGTGAAATAAATGCACAAAGGCACTGCCTTTAATGACTGGCTTGCTCAACAGAGCAGCAGCATTTTGCTTCCCGCTCCTTCCCCCTGAGTATCCATGGGTTGCAGACTACCTCCTTCTCAACTCAGCAGACAAAAGAAACAAGACCACATTAAAAATAGTGAAACAAAATTTGAGAACTAAGCCACAGTTCGCTAAAGATCCATGTCTGCTTCAATCTTGGGAAATAAGTTTCTAAAAGTAAAGAAGTCACTAGCAAGAGACTCTGACAATGGAAAGTGCCTGCAATTACCTACTAAGGAACAACATTCAGAGAAAGCAACTTGTAAAATACATCACTCCTTGGTACTCAATTCCTCAGCTGTGCTCTTCATGAATCGGTCATACCTGATCTCTCGCAGACAAAAACCTAGCACAGACAATCCAGGAGGGAGAATTTGCTCACCAAAACAGAGATTCTTCCTTGAAAAAGGAACATACTTTTCAGCCATCGTAATGCAAAATCCCCATGGAGATGAGGCTGCCTTTAACTTCAGCACAGTAAATCATCTAAATACAACTCTGTTACTTTCTATTAAAATTGTACTTTATACTGTTCTTTTAAGCCTAAATGCTGTCTAGAAAAAACACACTCTCCTCACTTTTCTTTCTACTCCCCTTCCAAGAAGGGGCTTAGAGAAAAAACTTCTAAGCACATTTAAACTTTGAAAATCTAAAAATCCCACCAGGTTTCCCATTGTCTGTGCCTCTTTAGTTTGACCCCAAGTCCATGTGAAGTCTTACGCAGTCTTTAAGATCACACAGTGTTCCCCCCACACTGAATCCTTGTCCCAGGATGCAGTAACACTGAGGTTGCCTTGCCAACAGCAATTTTGAGCTTATGGTTTTACAACCATAAATAGCATTCCTTTCATGTCATTTGGGTATGTGAAGGGGTTTTCTGTCACTGGGTGCATTTCTTTTTTACATAGAGACAGGTAAGCCCAAGAGAAGTCTAAACTATAATATGCTCCTGTTATGAAAGAAACGCATGAGAACATGAAGCTCCTTTTCCACTGGGCAACCAACATACGTTTCAGAACCCGGCTTAGCCACAAAGCACGCTTGTTAGACATGACTAAAAGCTCTCCAAGGAATATGCCTTAGTGTTCTCCGAAATCCAAAAAGCTTTAATAAGAAGTTCCCTACCCTTACAATATATTCTTTCACTTACTGGACATTTCAGCAACCAACCACACAAGTCGTGAGCCTTCCAGCACACAGAGTACAGGGTCAGCACGAAACTCACTGGCAAAGCATCACCATATGATATCAGACCATAACTTACATTAAGACCTCAAACAAATACGGGATTTGAAAACTAATCATTTGTTTGAATTTAATTTTTTGACCAAGTCATTTAAATCTCTCTATATTTTCTAGAACATGTTAAATAAAATGTCATTATTAGCCAATTGGCAGAAATATTCAGCCAACCAGAAAATTCACTGAACATTACTTCTAGCTTGGCTGGTTAACTGTCCCCTCCTCTTTCCCCACAAGCACCCATGTTAACTCACCAGCTGTACATAGGCCACCTTGTAATCTGGCTTCTTCACTCTCTGATTCTTGTGATTCCTCTTGTTGTTTGCACCTGCAGAAATGAAGAGAGTCCCACCTTTTATTTCCCAGGACTTTCAAGTTCCCCAAAGCAAGGCCAAGCTGAAGGGGGGACTTCACTAGTTCTGACTTATTAAGAGGAATACTCTTTCTTCAGTACCAGCACAGCATCACAATTACTAAAACGTACTGAAATTGGTAGACATTACTCCCGTCTTTTACAAGTAAGGAATTGAGGCGTCACCAGACTCAGGCTGCTGACAGCCATTGTGCCTTCATGTCACACACAAAGTTTGCAAAGAAGCAAGGAGATAAGTCTCCTGAGCAGGGGGCCAGGAATGACAAAACTGTCCTCCCAACATCAACATCTTCAGGAAGACAAGGAGGAAATGACCACTAAACAGCTTCAAACTTGTCTATTTCTACTACCCAGCTAATGAGCTGGATGTACTGTTTATACACCAGCAAATTACACTCCACAACCAAAATACCAAAGCACCTCACCCTTCCGCAAGTATGCTCGTCACAACTGAGTGGGAATTTCAATTTATTCCCTGCATGTTAGGCAGACATTAAAGCTCTCAAATTTTTAGACATTCTAACCCCTTTTCGTCTTTTATCCCTGAATATATACATTCTACCGTCACTTCCATTAGCAGTGGGGGACAAAATGGTTAGAAGGACAAGCATGAACATTTTTCAGCGCTGTTTGGAACTGCATGTGTTTGGTATTTAAGACTTTATTTAATTCTGCTTTTCACATATTACAGACGATCTTTGGTTTTCTTTTTCTTCTTTTTTATGTTCTGAGTTTCACACCCTTATTTCTTTCATTCACCATTTTTCACCATTACAGCTTTTTCCTATCTGTTTTTCAAACTCATCCCTCCTCTTACCATCATAAACACATCAATCAATTCCTTTGCTAGCGTCACTGCATGAAAAAAGAAAAACTCAGCTGTCAAAGATGTCCTAACCAACAAGACACTCTCCATTTGATTAATGCACTGGCTGGTGATCAAAAAGGTAAATAACATGAAAACGATACCCCAGACTTTGCACTGCATCCACACTCCAGTCAGAGAAGCTCTGGGGAAGGACGCACTCATATGTAAAGGTGACATTATGTAAATCTAGCTTATTTCAGTTAGAGATGGGTCCCTCCACTCCAAGTAAGAGTTCAGTATAACTTAAACTAGGAATGTTTCTTCTTTTTCTCTTAGGTTGGTTTTATGTTGTTTTTTGGTGTTTGTTTGGGGTTTTTTTGTAGCAGTGGCACAAGGGAGAAACACCATGAGTGGAAACATACAAGTCTGTAGCAGAAATGTGGTAACAACAGGTGATGGAAAATTGAAAGTTTGTCAAGATGTTTCACTGCCATTATCAACTGGACTAATAGAATATTTTTCCTTGCTCTACAAACTTTGCCTTTTGTTAGACTATAACATGTCCTCTGTGTGCATGCCAGGTAATCTCAATTCACATTTTTTTTTAAAAAAGGCTACTGCTGAAATTAAGTTTAATTATTAATTTTACTAAACATATGAAGCAGTTCCTTCTGAAGTGAGACACCCACTGTCTTCAAGAAGAAATAGCAACAACTACAAAAGCATATAGCACAAGCTGGGTAACTATCAAGATGATAAGGCTTTTTAAATTCAGAGTTTTCTTTTTAAAACTAAACTTATGTCATATTCTAATCAAAGCATCCAACTATGAAGTGATGCATATTCATCTGAAGGGACAAATAAACAACTGAGCTGACAGACGTCACCAGCTATGCACCTAGAAACAAAGTTTGTTGAAATCTAATGGACTCATTCAGAGGAAAAGTCTAATCTGGCTGCACAGGGATGCTGTACTCTTCCCTTTGGATTACTCAACTGCACTTACCATACTGTATCCTGGTCCTCACAGCAGCTACCGGCACATTGTATATTTTTTCAAGGTAATTCTTGATATCCACTTTTGTCATTCTAGGCAATGCAAAAAACATTTTGGAGAAAGAAAGATGGAAAAATATAAGTATTTACATAAAATGCAATAAAATAGAGCCAGAGTATTTATAGACTGGTTGATACTCTGTAATAAATATATCTTCTCCTTTTAACCAAGGCAGCTTTACTGCACGAAGTATAAACTCAATATAGACCACACATTGCTAGAGCAATTCATTATCCATAAACTCTAACAAAGACAAATATTTTATCCCCTGTAGCCTCAACAGTCAAAACCCAGATATATTCTGTATTCAGTGACAGTGGGTAGGCTTTCTCACTGCCTGAGCCGAGAACACTTTCTAATCTTCTGAATACCAGTTTCTAGTTTTTTCAGGACAAGCCCCAGGCTTTTGGGCTTTAGCTTGTGCAACCAGACCGGGCAGGTTGAAAGAGTCCTGACAAATACCTGGACATTACACCTTGTTTCCTCTGGATCATCTTTATAAGCACTTCCTTCTTTCTAAGCCCGTCCCTGGGAAGGCTGAGCCTCACTAACACTCAAAAAGAGGAGCCAAGCAAAGCTCGTACCTAAATTAGCGCCCTCGCAGCCCTCTAAAAGCTCTCCTCGATGCAGAAGCCCCTTCCTCCAGCCCAAAGGGCGCTATCTGACACTTCGCCTTCCCACTCCTCAGCTAGCGAGACAAGCTGTAGCCCAGAAGGCGGCGACAAGAGGCAGTGTGCCGGCATGTGTGTTGCTG